TCACCCCAGCAGTAAAGGCTAAGCTAGAGGTGTCTGAAGTATGAAAGACAGACTTTGTTGAATGAGGGCTTCAGGAGAAAGTCTGTTTCTGACAACACTCACCAGGGAGAAAACTGCCCTGAATCCATTAAGGGCTTTCTATTGAAAGTTATGGGTAGAACTAATGGATAATGGGATTTCTTTCATTACTGGAAAGTAAAGACCTTTCTCTACTGAGGCCCCGGACAGATGCCACCTTTGGAAAGAAAATGGCACTTATTCATCAAGAGAGATAGCAGGGTGCACTGGGTAAGAGGATGGATTCTGAAACCTCACTACCTGAAATCAGGGACCTTACTGTGTCATACCGGGCAAATTCACCTCCCAGGACCTCCTCTATAAAATGGGGATGATAACCTATTACCTGGCTCAAAAAGTCATCATCTGGATTAAAGAAGTCAATCCTGATACAGTGTTTAGAATGGTGTCTGGATGAAGTAAGTCTATATAAGCATTTGCTCTTCACGCTTATCAGCAACAGTGTTGGCACAGATTGTATAAGGGGAGTATTCCAGGTGGAGGATGCTGGTGGTCTGGAATCCCTCAGTGATTCAGAGCACAGATGGGTTTTGAAGTCAGAGAGACTCAGGATCAAGTCCTGGTCTTGATTCTGACTCGCTGTGTGACCAAAGCAAGTTACTTTGCGTCTCTGAATCTATTTCCTCTTCAGTAGGATAAAGATTAGAGTACCTACCTCACAAAGTCATCAGAAGAAGTTAAATGAGTAAACTGAGTGACGCACTTAGCACAGTGCCCAGCAACACACAGTCAGCATGCAATAAATCCTCGTCATTATGTTAAAAGGACTCACGCATGGTTCACCCAGCTGTGATCATGGCCCCTACGGAGAAGCCAAAATCTGTAACCTTTGGACAGAACTCTACCCACCTTCATATGGGGGCAGAGAGGATGGGAAAAACCATCTCCTATCACCTCACGTAAGTTAACTGTGAGCATTTTCTATTCACTACTGTTCACATCTACACACAAATGTTCACACATAACTCCCCAGATCTGTTCCCTGAGAGAGGAAAAAGACTTGTATAACAAGGAGAGAATTTTGAGAATTTTCTCAAAGCAAATACATATTGTGCACTGTTTATTTAATATTAGTGTATGTACCATTACCTTTATTTTATTCTGGGAAGGGAGACTACATTAAAGACTGGAGAGACAGAAGCTTTGGAAAGCAGTGGGGAAGAGGCTGGGCAGGCGGCCCCAGGGGGTCAAGTGCAAGGAGGCTAACAAAATACAAGCAAGCCTTTCCCAGGAGGTCCCAATTTTAGATGGAAGGGAATGGAGCCAGGGGCCAATAGAGGCACCACTAAATATCTTAAAACCCAAAAGTTAAGCCACTAAGTGATTAAAATTTAGTCTTGTTTCCTATGCTTTTTCAAACACTGCATTCACAAAAGCATTTAGGTACCCTCTCAAACCTTTTTTTAGGAGTAAGAAAAAAGGAAATGACGTAACTGCAGTAATTGCATATGACCAGTTTTAAAATATCCTATACCTGTCTGTTCTATCATTATTACTGTATCTGATCTTTGAAAAGTGATTGAAAATGTTATGAATGTAGGGTGAATGGAATTTCAAAGACAGTACAAAATTCAAGGGAGCAGACTTTTTTCCTACAGGGGTCACAAATCCTTTTTTAGGAGATTTATTGCTTAGAAATCTTCTCTAACATGGGGCACCTGGGTGGCTCAGTCGGTAAAGCCTCCAGCTTGGGCTCAGGTTATGATCTCACGGTTCATGAATTTGAGCCCCATGTCGGGCTCTGTGCTGACAGCTCAGAGCCTGAAGCCTGCTTCGGATTTTGTCTCCCTCTCTTTCCACCCCTCCCCTGCTCTCTCTCTCTCTCTCGCTCTCTCTCTCAAAAATAAGTAAACATTAAAAAAAAAAAGAAATTTTCTCTAACAGAAGAAAATGGTATATTTGTGACACAAATATAAAAATGAAAACCAAAAAAAGGATCCAAGGCGCCTGGGTGGCTCAGTCTGTTGAGTGTCAGACTTGGGCTCAGGTCATGATGTCATGGTTCATGAGTTCAAGCCCCGCATCGGGCTCTGTGATGACAGTCTGGTCTCCCTCTCTCTCTGCCCCTACCCTGCTTGTGCTCTGTCTCTCAAAAATGGATAAATGGCAAAAAAAAAAGAAAGAAAAAAGAAAAGAAAAGAAAAGAAAAAAGAAAAAAGATCCAATTACATAAAAGAAGAAAGGGATAAGCAAAGATTTCCAAAAGATGAACCTAACAAAATTGCTTTATACAGTGGCCGATCAAAAGCTGGATTAGAAAATGTGAGAGTTTCACCTATAAAATGCAACCCAAGTGACTTTTCCTACATCCAAGACAACCACAATTTCAGCACTAAGTCAGAATCCACCACAGGGGCAGAGAATTATGAAACCAGTGGCTGTGATCACTTCATCCCCACCTTCTTCACTTTCTAGGTTGCTCAGCCCCTCTGATGGTCCCCTTCCAACATCTCCCAGTCCCCAAGCCCCATGGAGGTATCCCAGTGCATCTAAATGACACTCACTCCAGCAGCATCAAGGTCTTTCTCTCTGCCTGGGATAAGACACCAACCAGGAACCACGGAGGGAGGAGTGGGCTAAAGTCATTCCATGGGGAACCATTCCAACTGCGCCCCCAATGGCTACCAGAATAACAGCAATGCCACCCTGGCAACCGGCAGGAGCAGCTCCTCAAAGGTGACGATGACCCTGCCACCACAATTTTGCTGGGGTGGGAGTAGGGGTGTCCCCAACAGAGAATGGTTGTGAATTCTACACCCATTCCAGTGACTGACCCACCAAGGGGAAGCACAGAAACAGAGAGCTTGGGGCTGAACACTGGGCCCACCGTGCCAAAGAACAGAACTAGATTCTAGCTAGTGAGAATGAAAAGGAAGACGACAAGGTGTGGTCATTCTACCTCTCTCTGTACAACCTTTGCGCATTTCTTTGCTCCCTCTCACTCAAAGAAAGAAAGAAAGACGAAAGAAGGG